TCATTTGCTAAAAGTCCGATTATATAAAAGGCATAAGGAGATGTTTTATCCTTTGTCCTTTGAAGAGAAAAGCATTTTTTAGCTTTTTTATTTGCTACTTTTTAACTGGCAATTTCCTAGTAATACGAACAGCTATTAGCACGAGAGAAATTTAATTAATATATGAAGTGAAATTAAGTATGGACCACTATAATGTTACTTAATCTATGCTACACAAAAGAAGTCAATATGATACGAAGACGACTTACCTAGACCTCCCGCTTCATTGTTGCATACTACAGTGAAGATATTAGGCATACCAACCACGCCCCGATGCAGACCAGGTCCGAAAGCCTTAATTTTTGACTGCCTTTGTCGACTAACCGCGACCTTGTTTGGAATATGGGAAAAGAGGAAGGTGTAAAAGCAACTGGCAATAATAAAAACAAATAAAATAATTTAATACATATAGAATTTAACTATCCTATATAACCTAAAATAATTAGTAAATTATGAAGGAAGATTAAATAAAAGTTATATAATCAAAATACTTTCTTAATATTTGCAGGAATGATGCAAGCATTGATACTTAGACTACGTAAATAACCTTGAAGATGAACAGTCATTAAATGAAGCAAGCAAACCAGACCCAGATAAAATTAGCTTTTGCCAAAACCTGCATTGAAGATGAAGACCAATCCGTTCACGCAATTCGTACAACGAGGATAAAAGGGGAATTTGGCACTTGAAATCTGAGTGAATTCATTTCATCACATAAAATTTTTTAAAAGTCCTTTCGGACTAGATTCTGGTGGCTGCAGTGCAGTGAGCAAATTCTAATTGGTGAGACTATGTACACGAAATCGCGCCTATCGCCTAAAAGTCTTATCATGCATAACCACCACTTGCAGGCGAGTATTATCTCGATTCATGCAGTACACTTGGTATATCAATTTAAATCGTAGTCACGTCACGTGTCGGAAAGCTTCCTATTAAAACTGCCAGACTAACCTATCAAACCAAGCAAGGTCATCGACCACGAACTAATTATAAGTTGGGACACACAAAAGGCAATGAATTAAACACTATTTGTGACGAAATAAAGTAAATTAAAAGTAACTCGGCTTTCCACTTCCGTCTACGAAAAGAATTCGTAAATTGGTTTTAGCGTAAATCTAAATGGGTCGGTTCCACCAGAAGACGAAAGCGAATACCTGTCGGCCAGCTGTCAAAGCTGTTTACAATGGAATCTCCTTAGATTCAGGTGAAAACCTGAGAAACTCTGGTCCGTCGTATGAAGGATATCATGACAACAGAGTATCATCCTTTCAACCTTATCCAACCTTGAAGATGGTTACAATAATAATATTCTGTTCTGAAGATGTGTCACGACGGGTGAAAGCTTAGCACCTTTTTACAAGAATCGAAGGAGATTGCCTCGCGAACAGCGTCAACAAGAATGTTCCAATCGATAGATGATCAAAAGGATTCCGCCGTCATCTTCTGGTGGGAGCGTCCTTAGAGTCTCTTCACCAAACACATTTACTCTAAATGAAACTGAGCCCGGCAATCCTTCTTCGGTTTAAGGTGATGCTAATTGGTAAAATTCCTTTCGGCCAACTTTTCCTTCAAAATAAAAAGTCGAGTCAGAATAATTATCAGAGAGTCTTTAAAACCCAGCTTTTTTTCATATATCTGAAATATGCTGTTGGTTTGATACGGTGGAGCCTACCTAGTCCCGCGTCCCCTACCCTTTTAGTCATGATAATTTCCAGCAGCAGACCTTTGAATACAGTTGAAAGGTTTCAAGAATAGATACGACCCAAAAGGTCTCCTTGTAGCCTCGACCAAGTCACGAAAATGAGGTTAACTCAAGGCTATACAGCTAAAGGAGACTGCGACCAAATGAGGCATTACCAGCTTGGTCTTCTTAGCAACATGAAGTAAGTCCACACTCATACTCACCACTTTTGCGTGTAAGTTAGTTCGTTCCCTATATATTACTTAAGAAAAGGTTACTTTACCCAGTATCGTTTACGAAATCAGATAATAACTTTAAGCAAATGCTAAATTTTACATGTGAATTGTAAGATATTTTGAGAGCTGATTTTCAATTAGGGCGCAAAGCTTTTTAACTATAGCATAGCTGCTAGTAAACCCTTAAAGGAATTAAATTATGGCAAAATGCAGATGCTTTCGCCCTTTAACATAACTTACACGCTAGCTATGAGAGTAAGTTACGCCGAAAAAATTGGTGAAGCGAAGCACTTCGCAATCCTTGCTCACAAAATTAAAAACTTGTGAAATATAGTAATCATCTCTGCATTAGAAGTCGTATTATTTGATGGACAGAAGCAAGTTTAAAGCTTGCAATTAAGAAGAAAATGTATACTAGGACCAAGACCGCCAATAAAAACGGGTGGGATATGTTAAAACAGTGGATAAAAGCAGGTTAAAACACTGTATTAGCTTGGCGCCCACCTTAAATGGACTTCGCTGAATCTGCTCATCTCCATAGAATACACTAAGCAGATATTCACCAGGAACTGAGGCCGTGTAGGTACATTCCCAAAGATGTTGAGAAATCTGTTTAACGTGTACTTGCACCTCTTTTCCATCTAACAGATAAAGAAAAAGTACAAAATATCGAGTAAAGTTGTGAAAAGTACATTTTAGGATAGGCAAAGGAGGTTTAGCTAAGACTCACCTAAGGCGACCATCTTAGCAGTGACAACTCCTGTGCCTGCTTGTTCCGTGTGCACTTGGAATCTAACCAGATCCTGATGCCTGATCCCAGAGGCCTGAATTCCTCTTCCGGTCGCGTAGGCAAAGTTTGCTTGGCATTCTGAGCAGTCATATGTTCAGAATCCAAGTGATCAAAGTGTAGCAAGGCAATTTGCGTGCAGTGCATTTATTGAAACATAGATGAATTAGGTAACAAAAATATGTAGGCGAGCTGAGAATTGATGCGATGAAGAAGGGTGTGAATGTAGATAGGTATAAACAGGCGTATGTATGCATGTGGAGGAGACAAACCATTTTAGATATTAATAGAATATAATTCCCTTGGTAATAAAGGAATACGAACTAAATTTTAAAACACTGATGGCAAGACCTAAAAAAATAAACGAAGATATGAAGACCAAGATGGTGTGGCCTTTTGTGTGGTCGCAGTCTCTTTTCATTGTATAGAAGAAGTTTGACCTTGTTTTCGCAACTTGGTCATATTGGTAAGAAGACTTAGAGGAGTCCATTGTAGTCATGGTAATTTCCCAAGTCAGACCGTGGGCGTGGTACATTCCCAGACGTTTCGCCGGCATCGTCAGTGAGTCTTGCCATTCTCAGCACCTTACTACAACTCGTCAAAGAGACAAGGAGGGGGAGCGTGGGAGTGAAGTAGACCGGACGATTTGTTGTGAGGTGATTTATTGCATTAGCCTGCCTTAATGGCACTCTGGGCTTAGCAATTGAATGATGGCGGATTGACGCTAGGACCCAGAAACCGGGAAAACGGTGGAGAAATTAATTTGAGGCAACTATGAAAAATGGAATGCACCCTTTACTGCATAAAGTCGTGGAGAAAAGTCGTCTAACCTTCAAACCCAAATCATGCACACATGCAAACAGGCAACAGACGAACAACATTAATAGACAAATAACCAGACAGGCGAATATAACTATTGAAAGATAATAGTCAGACAAGAGGATATATAAATTGCATACAAATGATCAGACATTTAGAAAAACATATGGGTAGATATATAGGCATACACACATACATACATACATAAATACACGCATACAAATATACATACAGACATATAGACAGACAAATGGATATACAGACAGACAGACAGACAGCAGGGCAAAAAAGAAGGACAGGCAGTATATAGCATAAAGACAGATAAATAGAAAGAAGCCGCTAAAAAGAGCACCTCATTCCACATTTAAATAAGCAATTAAGAAATTGTGATAGCGAATTGGTGATCCAAGGATATCGGATTGATGAATACCTTAGGAGAGAAAAAGATACCAAAACTGGTTAGCAGATAATTGCTCACCAGTTGTAGTGTGGTGCTAAGACTGGCAATACTCACTGACGATGCCGGCGAAACGTCTTGAATGTACCACGGTCCGACTGGAAATTATCATGCATACAATGGAGTCCGGACTAGGTACTTTCCTCTAAGTCTTCCAACCAATACGATCAAGTTGCGAAAACAAGGTCAAACAACTTCTATAAAAAAAATGAAGCTGACATGATATGAGGTAGAACTGAATAAAGTACACATGCATCAAGGGTAAAATAATGTATTATACATCTTTATGCGTATAATTTAAAGTTGTCTATTAGTAAATCCCAATCATACTTGGGACTATATGAAAGAAAGAAGCAATCACTTTTGGTAATTTGAATGATAAAGAACAAATTGATGTTAAATTGATTGATTAATCATGTTAAATTGGATAAACAGTTACCAAGATAGTCAGGCCTCAAGTTTGCTCGCAGTCTACTTTAGCTGTATTGAGTTGTTACGATTTCTTTTTCGCAACTTGATCGGGGTGTCATAGAGATCTTGTAGAAGGCTCTAAGTCGTGAGTCACATGTTATAATAATCATAATAATTTTGAACATAAGAACGCTGACTTGGTACATTCGAGCCATTTATCGTCACCATAAATCGTTTATGTTTGAAGATGAAAAAGATGGCGCCTCTCCCCTACGATACCAACAACTACATTGCTGGAGAAACATACCAAATCATAACTTCGGTATTGTAAATTATTATTATCACTGATGCACATGATTGGATATGCTCCGCAAAATCTTCTTGTCACCCTGATAACATTGCGAAAACTAAGTCACACCAACTTAATCACCCTAAAGTCGACTTGGTTAAGGATTTTAAAACGACCCGTTTTGCTCTATTTTAGCTGGTTCTTTGCTACCCTTTGGTACCGGATGCCGGAGCAGGCAGTAGCATCATTTATAGGAAAGTTGGTATCCTGGGAAAAAAAATAATGTTGGGATCTTTCATGAGGCAATAAAACACGAAGGATACTCCTCAGACAAACCAAAATAATAAAGCATATTGACGGCATAGTAGGCAAGTAAGTCATGGAGCAAGGAAGAGTAAGATGAACTCAAATGTCACCCAGAGAGGAAATGTACATTTTTAAAGTGTACAGTCAAATCAGACTTCCCCATAAAATCATAACGAATAACTCAGATACCAGACCGTATAAACTAAAGATAA